GAAACACATCCCTGCCAGGGGAGTGCATGAGACCGGCATCCTGTGTGTGTGCCATGTGTGTGATCACAGTTAGGGTGTGGGCCCAGGAACGGAGTCTTAGATCCAGAGAGCATACTAGGGGTTTCTCAGACTGACTTGAACTTCCTTCTGCTCACTAAGAGTGAGAAGTGGCTTGGCTGAGCACTTTGGTGACAGACAGCCTGCTGCAGCACAGGCACACCAGCGGAGACAGCTCCAGTGGGTGGGAAGTTCTGCTGAGTTGGAACCTGGCTTCCTCCGCAGCCCCCTGCACCTCGGCTAGCAGCTTTAGCTTCTAGAATAATACATGACCTGTGCATTGTCTCCACTGGGTTCCTAAATAAAAAAGATGACCCTCTAATCCTCTTCTGTGTCTACTGCCCCTCAGCTCCTCCAACACTCAGTTGATTCTCTTAGTATAGTCTTTCTTTTTTTAAACTTTTGTCATAGGGCACTTGTACTTAACAGAGAGAGATGGGGGAGATAGAGAGAAAGCAGCTCCCAATGGGGCATGATCATGCTGCAATCCCTTCTCTTCCATTCCTCCATCTTGTTGGGATGCTAGGCACACACACGTGCCCGGCATGTTTCTCAGGCTGCTGGGTCCAGGACGCAAGTCATACAGTTGGCCATGCGGGATCCAGCTCCCTTAACCACGAGGTCACAGGCACTCTTGTACTTTTTTTTTTTTTTTGAGAGGGTTTTGCTATAGGGTATATGATCCAGCTCCCTTAACCACGAGGTCACAGACACTCTTGTACTTTTTTATTTTTTTTGAGAGGTTTTTGCTATAGGGTACATGCGCTCGCCAGAAAGATAGAGAGAGACAGAGAGACAGAAAGCGAGAAATCAACCCCCCAGGGGGGGATGGCCACACTGCAATCCCTTCTCCTCCATTCTCCTCTAGGGATCTTGGGCACGCACGCACACGTGCCCAGCACAGGTCCGGGACTCAAACTGCGGTTGACTATGTGGGGGTCCAGCGACACAGCCACTGCGCCAACTGCTAGTCCCTGGTCCCTACATTCTTAAAACCTTCATGTGCTCCGTGCAGGAGAGCACAGCTAAAAGGCAATATGAACAAAAGCCTCTTGGGATAAGCAAGATATTTTATTTTTAAGAAAGATTTTTGCTATAGGGAGCATGTGCTCGTCGGAGAGACAAAGACAGCGAAAAAAACACCTCTTAAGAGGGATGGTGAC